CTCCGGGCCAATTTGGCAACAGCCAAAGACATCTCCAGTGTGCACGAATACAGAAGGATTCTTTTAGGATATACATAAATAATTCAGAATCCAACTTATATTTATTTTGACGTACGTTGCACCTTAGCTATTTTTGTGTGTCCTATTCTTCACAAAATCGCATCCTAAGAACTCTTAAATATCTTCCTTATTGCTTAATCTTCCGTTATGTTTAAGGAACCGTTTTTAATTTCTAGAGATTTCATATTTATTTCGATACATTTATCGAAGTCTATTCAACGGGCCCTTGTTACTTATTTTAAAAGATGTACATAATAATTGTCAATCTTTAAAAGCTTTCTGCATCTTCCATTGATAATCTAAGTGAGTTTTAGACTTTTCAGAGATTCTAGAGAATTCATTTACTCTCAAACTCCTACCACCTGCATTTTCCATGAAACAAGACCAAGTTATCGCCAGATCGCAGCTCTTGAGATCTCTCATATGTATTCTTTGATGTCCTCAGTTTGGCTGCTTCTTCAGTAGCATACTAGCAGTCGTTCTTTAAACATGGTTAGATTTATGTAGGCCGTTTTTAAAGGCTCTTTTTAGGCTTGGGCTACTTTGTATTAGAATTTTGTTTGAATTAGCTACTGCCAAATTGTATTTGTTAATTCATCTTGATTGACTTTTTCCATATCGCTATATCCCCAAATTTCAAATATAAACTTATTTGGCCTTTAGTGCATATTTTATTTGTTCTGTCTCCTATATTTTTGCGTTCTTTATCTCAGCCCGATGTTATCACCCTTTTTTCCTTAGTCTCTCTGAACATTTTTTCATTCATATAAACTTTTATTTCTCTTCCTTCAACTTTTTTGCTTTTTATCGTCTTATATAAATATATGCATGTGCATTTATTTATAATCACATTAATTTCCCAATCCATGTTCCCAATAATCTTTTCTTACACTGTTTATTTAATCTTTTTATATATAGATCTCATTGTTATGTGTAAATTTCTGTTTCAGATCCTTGCTTGTCTACATCAGGACCTAGCCATGTCCTTAATCCCTATCTGGTGGCATATGTCTCTGGTATAGGCTTCGGTCTGATTGGTGCACTCATCCATCTAATTGACCTGCTTTTAGCCTTGTCTGGGCCTGGTATCTCCTTGGATCTCGATGGCTCCACAGCATATCTGCTTCTCGCAGCACTAGATGTCTTCTGCTTCACACTCTTTCAGATCGTTTGGTCTCTCATACTCTGGATCTCTTTTGAGCAGCTCGCATACCTTCAAATCATCGCCGTCTATTTTCTCCATCTTCTTGTCGCTTGTCTGGTGAATAAAGCCATACAATCTTTTACGGATTGTTTTAAGATTTAATCTATAATTTATTTTATACTTCTTCAGCTACACTATTAATGCTTATAATGCCCTTATTTTGTAATACCAAATTCTTCTCCGGATTTCCTGGCATAATTTTTATTTACTTCGGGAGAAGCAGAAGTAATTACTATGTTACTATGAGCTGGAGAAATGGGATTTTTATGTTTTTAAGGCCATTAAACTTCTAACAATCATGATTTGGTCCATTTAGCCGTATCTCTGTTGGGAAGATGCAAAGGAGTCAGCCCCTAATCACTAGAAGGTATGGCCAATACTGAATACCAACTAGAGGGGTCCTATACTCTACAGCTAAGCTTAATATTCAGTATAAATTAATCAAATGATCAACATCCTGATGAGAGGAAATGAGTTTAGAAAGTTGAGCGAAACCATCTCTGGCTAAGAGAGTGAAGTAGCTAGAGAGAGGAATTGGAACCAACAGCAGATGGATTAGTTAGCGTGGAGTCTGGTTGGGGCCTTAGTAATCTAGCTGATACAAAAGCATTAGACTTTAGATTATTTTATGTCTCAGTAGTGCATGAACATAACATATTCATTTTCACATATTTTGGGTAGGCAATGAGTTAGCCATAAAAGTATTCATTACGTTAGGAAATCAGGTTATTGTTGTTGATAATCGTTATTAGTGTGGGTTTCTTGCTAGTATTTTAATGTCCTCTCGTTATAACGATGGTCGTAGTGTGACAGACGATAGCTCATCGAAGATTCATTACGATCGTAAAAGGGTGTGCTTAAGTCTGTACTTAAAACTCTAAATCGATCTTCGTGATCAAATGGGTCCACCCTACGAATTTGTTTCATCCAACCTTTCAGACCAAAAAAAAATTCAATGGAATCAGAGCAAAACTTGATTTGAAGATATGAAAACCAAGATGTTGTGGCCTCTGTTATGGTCGCAGTCTCCTTTCGATTTATAGAAGTG